ATCTGGCAAAGCTCCGATACTTGTTGCTACCGATGTAGCAGCCAGGGGACTAGGTAAGCAATGATTCCATTCAATTTCAAATCGAAAAATATGATAATAGGATGAGTTTGTATTCGGTTGTAATTTACGTAAGAAATAACATTAGCTGCTCTTAAATTTTGGGAACTCAGTGGGGAATTTAAATCTTTTCAGTCTAATCTTCAATTTATTTGCCTATTCTAACGTTAACTGTTATTATTGTTTTTATAATTTGATATATAAGAAAAGTAAAGCATGTGATAAAGTAAAAAGTTAAAAATATATATAAAAAAAAAATAAAATAAAATAAAAAAAAAAGAGCTTAAAAGCTGAACAAAATAATAAGGACGAGCAGAGGAAGGTGAACTAAGCGGCTGGATGTTTGTTTGCATTGCAGAGGCACATTGCGCGCAGGCCCACGCCGGGTAATGCAAATAGCATTCGTTGGGAGGTGCTCCCGCCGTCTCTTTATTCGGTGGTGCACTCTGGTTTGCATTGTCTGCGCTGAGGCTGCTGCGCGTGCCTCTAATCACACATCGGTGCCAAAGTGCCGCTGCCGCGCTCTTGCACGTGAGAAACAAAGAGAGAGAGAGAGAGACGTTGGGGGCGACCCGAGGTGGTGTCCGGTCCGCGGCCTGCAATTTGGGGGCGCCGCCACCGGCGGACACGAGAGATTATGACCCGCGCACATATACACTGTGTCTGGTCCTCTCACGCCTGGCGTCGTGTCGCGCCGCCGACGATCATCACGAATCGGCCGAGGCAGTTCGTTATGTCCGATGCCGAATATGAGAGAAAGCGAGAGAGAAAAAAAGCGAGAGAGTGAGAGTGAGAGTGAGAGTGAGTGAAAGAGTGAGAGAGTGTGTGTGTGTGTGTGTGTGAGAGAGAGCGTGTGAGTGAGAGAAAGAGATATAGAGAGACAGACGGACAAGCAAGCAGAGAGCTCAAGCGAGAGAGATAACGAATGAGAAAGTTCGAGTATCTACTCTCCTCTCCACACACGCTGATCACGACTCAATAATCGGCTGGGTAGCTGCTTAAGGGACTCGAGCCGATCGGGTCGCTGGTGCTGCTGCTGCCCGCTTCTCGCGGCGGTGTTTTGCGATGCCCGCGGACCCACATACGGCCCACACGCAGACTTCTCTCTCTCATCCTGACGCCGAGAGATAATCGAGAAAATACACAGTAACTGAGAATACGAAAGAGCGAGAGAGCGAAAGAGATGAGGTGTGAGAGTTAGAGAGCGATAGAATTAAAGCGAGCCGCCAATTAGAGATCACTGGCGATTGTAGCATCCTGGAGACGGGCTTATTGTAGCTGGAGTAAAGCTCAGCCTCGTCTTCGATACATATCCTTAGCTACGCATTCGTCTGCACCAATCTTAGTATGAATATATAATACCGATTGATTTTACTCTTACATCCATTATTTCAATACTTATATAACAGCTAGATTTTATTTTTATTGCTTTTGTTTATTACTGGGGATGCGAAAGTCCGATTAAAGATCGCGCTAACTCATAAAAACTCCGGCAAATAAGGTTTTCATTTAAGAAATCAATTCGCGATTTTCTGGCCCAATTGTTTCGAAATTATATTTTTTCTGTCCGTCAGTGTCAATGCGAATAATAAAAATCTACTAAAAATAACGGTCATTACGGTTTGAATTTTAATCATTAATGCACTTTATTAGTAATTTCGTTTCATATTCATTTTAATCGCGATTAATGTTCCCTCGACGTGCATAAAGAAACATTATAAAGAAGAAATTGCAAATTCTTTGTTTTTCATTGTTATCTAGTAATTGTTTTAATAAAAGCTTTCCCATCCCCTTGTCATTTTTTCCTGTACTATTAGATGAAGGTATATTTATTATATAATTTTATAAATTTTTTTTTTATTTTTTTTTCTTCTTTATTTCTATCATTCGAAAGATGATTTTTTTTTTTCCAAACATACAAAATAAATATAACTTCATACATATATTGTTTTCATTTCACTATTTATTGATTGATTGACATTGTTTAAAAGAGTAACACTTAATTCTTGTATCCGCTTGGTATTCTTTTTCAAGTAAAAATAATGGATTATTTTGTCAATAACTTATGATTACAATAGTAAATGCTTGAAAAAGAAAACTACTGCGTTGTCTACAATACGCATATATACTTTTTTTAATATTTGTTTTACATCCTATACGCTCGCTCAAGAAGCATAACCTTTTTTATGTTTAGAAGAACTTGGTTGTAAAACTTTGAGATTTTAATCATAAAGGGCATTTTCTTTGCGAGCGTATTATTCAGAGACTCACAATTATTGATAAGTAAGAGAGGAGAGTGTGAGTGAACGAGTGAAAGAGTGAGAAAGAACTACTATGCATTTATCAAAATGTTTAACATTTTCGCAACACTCATAAACGCCAATAAACAAACGTAGAGAAATAACTAAGTTCATGCTCATTTTCATACACAAAGAGAGAGACGGGAAATCGGGCCGACTTTATAATATCATTCTTATTCATTTCAGACGTTGAAGATGTCAAGTTTGTTATCAATTTTGATTACCCATCGTGTTCGGAAGATTACGTTCATCGGATTGGACGAACTGGTCGCAGGCAAAAAACGGGCACGGCTTACACGTTTTTCACACCGAGCAACGCGAACAAGGCCAATGATTTGGTCCAGGTGCTCAAAGAAGCCAATCAAGTCATCAATCCGAAGCTCTTGGAATTGGCGGACAGAGGCGGTGGTTATGGACGACATAGAGGTATTAAGCCATTTCCTTGCTGTTTGTATTCTAACATCGTACATTGTATTAAAATGTGCATGTCATTGGTTTTATCTTGAAGTAGCTCAAGTCCAATGATTAAGATTAAAGTAAATCATTCGTTAATGTGTTATTTGTCTGACCATATACCAAATTTTGTTTCATTACAATAATAAAATTTTAAAATTCTTAAATGGATGAATTTTCTTATTAAAATAATCTCTTAGAGCATAAAGAGATATTTTTAATCATAATTAATAATGTAATTAATAACGCGAGGATATTAATGATTTCTTAATGTCAAAACAATATTAAATTTAGAAAATTTAAAGGCATAATAATCATATATTTCTGTTAAATTATAAATTTACCAAGTTAAATGTTATCTTTAACATTATCCTATGCTGCATACGAAAATTTACAATGAATTTTTAATTTATCATAAAGTTCATATTCTTCTCTGTCATTTAATTTTTTATATGCATAATGTTTGTTTATTATATCGTTACCTATTGCTATTTATTTTGGATGTAATTTCACGTTTGAATCATGCATGCATATTTACCAAACCAATGCATTTAATTAGTATCGCACTCTTTAAATCAAATATAGAGTTAACAACAGAGTAAAGTGTAATTATAACACGTTTGCACCGCACTAAAAAGTTTTTAATGTAAAATGTCACTTTTATATTTTATTAATTATAATATTTTATTTATAAATACAGATTTAATGTTGATTTTAATGACGAAAAGTTTCATTTTTTTTTTTTTTTACTTAATAACTTATTGGCAAGTTTAATGCACTCGTGCATTAACAGTCTTAATCATACAATTTCAGAAATTCAGCAATATAATAACAATTAAAAATGGACAATTTACGTATTTTCAGGTGGCAGAAATAGGTGGCGATCGAAAATCGCTCGTCGTGAAAAAGAACGTAGCTTGTCGAGAAGTCGAAGTCGTAGTTTAAGCAAAGAAAGAAACGGTAAAAGTGGTCGCCGAAGTTACAGTCGTAGTTATTCGCGAAGTCGAAGTTATAGCAGAAGTCGAAGTCGCAGTCCCCTTAATAACCGTTCAGGCAAGCATTAATTTATTTTAAAAAATTAATGTTATGCCAACGCACAGCTCGATAAGCGAATAAATAATGCAATGTTGTATTTCCTTCCAGAAGTTATTGGAAAAAGTTATTGGAGTAGTGAGAGATGATTACTCCCAAAAAAGTTTACAATGGAAAAATCAGTTGTCGCGCAATGAGAAATGTCAAATGAAAGTGATATGCATCATAATTAATTTAAGCTTTTTTTTTTAGCAGTGATTATGCTAAAAAAATATGAACAATCATTTAACATTTGTAAGCATGTCTTCAATGTCCTTATTTTAAACAGTCAACATTATGTTATAATAATACATTACTGACTACATATAAAAATAAATTTTTAGCACAATTGTATAGCAGGGAATAGAGCGTATTTGTGTTTCAATGTAATAAAATCCATATTCATTCCTATGTTTAGTTTGGGAAACTATAAATGTACAGTATTTAAGATAAAAATTGCAAAAATAAAATTTGTTAGCTACAGAATGGAACGTTACCTTTTACCTTTAATGACCTTTATATCAAATGTCTCATTGTATTTTAAAGTTTTACAAATATTTGTTGGGCAGACAATTAATTTTATTGATTCTTAATCAAAACAAATTAATGACATCAGTCGATATGTAGTACAGTACAATTAATCAAACATTTTACAAATGCGAACGAAGCTCGAGAAAGTGATATCTTGTTGACTCGTCGAGTATTATTAAATTGACAAATTTATACATGCTTTAAATTTTATTAATAATAATTTTACATAAGCTTTTATTATCGTATGATTATTTACAATTAGAAAAAAATATCACGTTAATTTTATTACGAATTCTTATATATAGTAGATGGAAATTTAAGATTTCAGATGTAAAATCTTTTATTACTACTACTGCGTCAAAATGGTAAGTACAACTTTTATTTTTTATAAATTTTTGTTTTTTTAATTTATTCTTAAAACATTAAAAAAAATTTGCATTTAGCAAAGTTATATTTTAATATTAAAACTAAGCGTTAATATATTAATTTATAAGCCATGAATGTTTTATACACATGCTTTAGTTATCATAGATGATAAAATAATTATAATAAAACATATTTGTCACATTAAATGAATAATTTTCGTAGATCGTTACATCTTTTAATATTTTATCATATGGTATTATATGCCTATCGACATGTTAAACGAATTTTTTAAATAATAAATATTTAATAGATTGGCTGTTGATAATTTATTTAAGAAAGTATGTATATTCTATAAGTTATTCATAGTTAATTAAAAAATTTCAATTAATGCATTATTTATTTAGTTTCATATATATTTTATATTATATGAAATATATCTATGAATTTTATATATACGAAATATATCCATATGATATAAATTATTTCGATTTTAAAACAAATACATATAAATGTATTTTTTGCTAATGATTTATAGTCATTTTAATTTCACTGTATACAACGAATGGATAAATTGAATTAACTAAAAATTTATTTAATTCTTTAGAAATATACCTTATATCTATAAAGCAATTTAAAAAATTTGTTTATAAGTTATTATTTTTATAAAACTGGGTGCGATTAGTTGAAAAGTCTTCTTTATTAAATTAATCAACTTATTTGAATAAAATAATTTTTAAATATGTTTAGATAAATTGCTTAGAACATAATTTGTTAAGAACCTTCAGTACCGAAGTGTAGTATTACTAAATTATGGGCATTTGATAAATCTTTTGTGATGTAATATTTATATCAAATTTATCCAATGAAATGGAGCGAATTAAAAGTTTGTTGTTTACGATTGAACAAAAAATCAATCAGACATGGTAAGTTTTGCTATATTATATATATATATATATATATATATATATATATATATATATATTAATACCCTTCCAATTAGAAATGGGAATTGCACAAATGTTTAAGGAATTCAATAAAATATTCTTCATTGTTATTTTTACTTTCTCGACAATTAATAGTAATCTTAGATTCGATGTCTGACGGTTACTCTTTGATAGAGATTACATTATAATTTATATGTAATTATGTTAAACGCCCATTTCATTAAGCACATATATTTACATTTAAATGTACAAAAGTAAATAATAAATATAGTAGAAATATAGTAAATAAATAAGTATATTGCGCTACGCATTAAAAGGTTTATTTTATAATTGCAAATAAAAATACTTCCAGAGGACAGAAAATGATTTTGATGAACAAACACCAATAATAAATATGAAAATCAGCTTCGGCAATTGGCAAATATTTCATAAATTCATTATTAATTTGAAAATTACTGTTTGATTTGTAAGAAAAAAAAAAAGAAGAAAAGAATATATCTAGACAATATTCAATATTAAATATTAAATATTAAATATATATAGCAAAATTTACCGTACATCTAATTGATTCTTTGTTCAATATTTGTTTAAATGGTCAGAGTAGCTTTGATAGCTTTACGATTCTTAAAAAGAAGTCGACTATTTGTAACTTATTGTGTTGTATATGAAATCCAAAATAATTTTTACATAAGAGGCTGCTAGTCGGCTGACAGTTTGCGATCGAAATAATTATTTTTTTGTTTTTTTTTTTTTAAATTTCCAAAACAGAGGGAGAAAGATCGAGTTTATAGCATTAGGCATTTTATGGCGCTGCTCGCTATCATCGAACGGCAAAACATTTATTTAATCGCCAAAGGAAAGGGAGGTAGAATTTATCGTGAATGGGCGCAGTCGAACGCATTAGAGGTGAACCAAGATCGAATATCTCGTAGAGGCATAAACAATTATGGAGAATCGTAGAAAGACAAATGGGCGCGCAAAATCAGTCGCGGGAACCTTTTTGAGGATCTGGGCCCGTGCGAAGCAAACGGGAAATAAAAGGGCGCCAGGAGCTTCTGGGTGTCTCCGGTCCCGCACTCTAGCAATATCGATTTTCGGGATGCATTCGCGGAATATTTGGAGGCTTCGGGGCATGCGTGCGCAGTCCGCGCCGACGTTCCCGAATACTGGATCTCCGCGATTGGTTGACGTGGCCGAGGTCACGTGCTCGACCCCGGGCGAAGCGAAAGGCGCGGAACGAGTGGGGGGAGAGCTCGGGACGAGTCGCGAGCGGAAATCTCTGCCAGCTGCCCGCTTCCGTCTTCCCGAGCGCCTGTCAGCCATTAGCGCTCTGTTCACCGGGTTTCTGGGTAAGAGAATCGCAATTTCGGCCAACATCCCGGCCTCTATTTTTACCGAAGAGCACGTCCCTGAATAGGCGAGCGACGGTCGCTCGTCGGGAAAGTTGTTCTGGAGGCGTCCGACAGGTCCAAGACGAAAAATTAACGCCTTTGTTTCGCAGGTTTGATTGGGCTCGACGCACGGAAGATCGTGACCAGACCAGATACTCCGTTCTACAAGACAGACAGAGAGAACGATACGACAGCGTGAAAGCGAGAAAAAGAAAAATCGAGAGAGAAAGAGAAAGAAAGTGAGAGAGAGAGAGAGAGAAAGAGAGGGTGGGAGCCTTGAGGAGGCCAAGAGAAAGTGGAACGTTTCTTTCAGCCGACAATTTCTGCGCGAGAGGAACTATACACATAAACACACACACACACACAGTCTAGTCGTGCGAAATGTATAGCAATAGTTACACCAATCAAACTTCGTGAGTAATTTTGTGAATTTCGTATTATTGTAGTGTTGCGTTTGTGTTGAGTTATTTGTCCATTCGTTGTGTCCGCATGGACACGAAATCGATAATATGGCGTACGATGTGGCCTCTTCCCTTCCTTTTTGGCACCAATCTCTCGATTCTCCCATGTACATACCGTTTGAGCGTCAAAGCACGAGAAATATAATGACTACGGCCATTTTGTTGAAGCCGAGCTACTGTATACGCACATTCCCATTATTCCTTGTGAAATGAGATTGTCAATAACTTTATTCTCGCGATCAATTGTTTCAACTGCTTAAGGTCTCATTCGCGATTACTCCCTGTCGCGCACTATTTTCTTTCATCGTCGTTCGATAATAATCATCATATGTGAAAGAATTTAGCCGTAGTTGTTATCATTTCCTTTATCTTGTTAATTAAAAAGAAAAAAATAACGTAGACGCTTGTGGAAGAAATATAGCGTAAAACAACAAATAATCAATTTTACAATAAGTATTTGGGTATTACATTGTCCAATATTTATTATTCTGGTCAATTCTTAACGCATTTCGCTATGTTTATATCGATAAAAATGCTGCTTATATTAGTTTTTTTTTTTATCCAAAATATACCTTATCTATTGATTGGCTTATTTATTAATTAATGCAAATATAAAAAAAAAAATTCTATATTTTTAATAGACAATGAATTATGTATTTTGTTTAATTTTTAATGATAAATATTAATTTCTTTCTATAGAAGCTTCATTATGCTGTAGCCAGGCATTCAGCTTTAAATAATTTTTTTTAAAGAATATGGTACTATGTATTTGCTTTAATTTTATCTGTTCTAAATGTTATTAGAAATTAGAAATTAGAAAATGCTTTAATAATTTTGTTATTTAATAGCCTATACATCTATTTTGGGTATCTTTATTTTATTATGAATGATTAGAATGATAATACAAATACACGTTGATATTGAATATTTGTACAAAAATTTAAAAAATTTTTAAATAAGTTAAATATATTTTATCGAAAGTTGTTCGAACGGATGATTTTATTCTCAATTTCAATTTATGCTGTAATATTATATCTATATATTAATAAATCCATTATTATTTGATTTTTTTAAATTTAAAGTAAATTATCTTTGGTACAAGGTTGTTTTTATACGAAAATCTGACATATTTAAAAATCTTAAACCATTATAATCAAGATGTTTCTGAAGTAAAGTCATAAGAAACTTGCGTTTACAAGAAATAAAATTTTCTTTACTTATTATACCAACTGCTTTGTATGGAATAGTATTTTCTACTATATGTAGAAAATTTAAAACAGGAATAATTATAACAGTAGTATAATATAATAATTAATAAGAGAATATTAATATAATTCATTATAATTTTATATGTTATAGTTTCAGACCTAGGGGGAACAGGGAATACGGCAATCGAAAAGGGGGTGGTGGTACCTATTGGAATAGTCAACAGCAATCTCAAATTGAGTTTGGAGTAAACAAAAAACAAAATCAGAAGAAATCACCAGGTGACCTTTTAAAGAAACCAAACTGGGAAATGATGACATTACCGATTATTACAAAAAATTTATACGTGCCTCACGTCAATATACTAAGTCGTACACCTGATGAAGTTAGCAAGTATTACTCTGGCAAAGAGATTACTGTCAAGGGCAACAATACACCATTCCCAATACAGGCGTTTGAGGAAAGCAACTTTCCCGATTATGTAATGGAGGAAATCAGAAAGCAGGGATTTTTGGAACCTACTGCAATTCAAGCTCAAGGATGGCCAATTGCTCTTAGTGGTAGAGATATGGTTGGCATTGCTCAAACTGGATCTGGCAAGACATTAGCTGTAAGTGTAGAGCTTATGATAAAATATTATATTGCATTTATTATAAATCTAATAATCACGTAATCTATTTAATTGAGAAATTACCTTTAATTTATGAAATAGGTGCTTTAATAATTACTATAGAATACCATATTATTTATATCATAATTCTGATTGCTATACAATTTTAATGTTATAATTTTTTCAGTACATTCTTCCAGCAACGGTCCATATCAATAACCAACCACGTCTATCACGAGGCGATGGTCCTATTGTACTTGTCCTTGCGCCAACCCGTGAACTCGCTCAACAGATTCAAAGCGTTGCTCGAGACTTTGGTTCATCATCGTGCATCCGTAATACCTGCATTTTCGGTGGGTCACCAAAAGGCCCACAAGCTCGTGATCTGGAACGCGGAGTAGAAATCTGTATCGCTACACCGGGACGTCTTATTGATTTTCTGGAGCGGGGTACAACAAATCTACGTCGATGCACGTACCTCGTTCTCGACGAGGCTGACCGCATGCTGGACATGGGCTTTGAACCTCAGATTCGTAAAATTATTGAACAGATTAGGCCAGATAGGCAAGTTCTTATGTGGTCGGCTACCTGGCCTAAAGAGGTCCAAGCCCTTGCCGAAGATTTTCTCAGTGACTATATTCAAATTAATATTGGCTCATTGACGCTTGCTGCTAATCATAATATACGTCAAATTATCGAAATCTGCCAGGAGCATGAGAAAGAGAATAAATTAACTGGTTTACTCAGGGAAATTGGTTGCGAGCGTGGCAACAAAACTATTATCTTCGTGGAAACAAAGAAAAAAGTCGATGATATTACGAAAGCTATCAAACGAAATGGTTGGCATGCAATAGCCATTCACGGTGACAAGTCGCAACCAGAGCGTGACTACGTACTTTCAGAGTTCAGGAATGGAAAAACAGCTATTCTGGTGGCAACGGATGTCGCTGCTCGTGGTCTTGACGTCGAAGACGTTAAATACGTTGTTAATTTCGATTATCCAAACAGTAGCGAAGATTACATTCATAGGATAGGCAGGACTGGCCGATGTCAAAGCGTGGGTACCGCGTATGCGTACTTTACACCAAACAACGCACGACAAGCCAAGGAACTGATTTCAGTATTGGAAGAGGCCGGCCAATCGATCAATCCCCAACTGGCCGAAATGGCCAACTCTCAAAGAAATCAATATGGTAAAGGTCGTCAACGATGGAATCACAGCCGCGGTAACAGTAACGGAGTAAAAGATGGCCAGATGGCTGGTGGTAGTCCAAGAAACAATCGAAGCAGTCCTTCGCAAAATAGCTGGCAGAATCACTTTGGGCATCAGAGCCAAAAGCCGTCACAAGGTATATCAGGCGGTCGACCGATGATGCGCCAGCAGAATTGCTACCAAACTGCCCGACAAAACAGCTATCAAAACAGCTACCAAAATGGCTATCAACAGCAACAGCAACAGCAGCAGCAACAACAGTCATCATCTCCCAATGGATTCCAGGTCTCGCAGCACCAGCAAGTACAGGCTCAGCAGCAGGTGCAGCCACAACAGCCGCAATCGCAACAGCTACAGCACAGACAATCCAATGGTTATCAAAACATTACCAGCGCTTATCAGTCGAGTGGTGGTTCGATTCAGAATGGCTACGGTCAGAACAGTGCCAATCAGCAACAGCAGCAGCGTTACCAGAACTACACTGGAAATGGTTACCAGGGTAGCAATCGTTACAATAATCGACAGAACGTATACGCGAGCGGACAGCAGACTAGGCAGCAGCAGCAACAACAACAGCAGCAACAACAACAACAACAGCAGCAGCAGCAACAACAACAGCAACAACAACAACAACAACAGCAACAACAAGGAATGTATTCGATACCTCAAGCCTTTATGATGCCATCAGGCGCTCATACTGCGGACTCGAGCATTCAGAATCTTGTGAACAATAAGTTCTTTCAGACGAATCGACCACCACCTGCGACGGCTAATCCCTGCGCCTATCAGTCTGCTATGAGCTACGGCCAGTTCCAGGCCGTACCGCCCTATGGATATCCATATCCACCAACTCCCGTGCAGCAGTGATGCGTCGCCTAAATTGGCGATGTTTTAATAAAGGGAAAGCTTCTTGATTTTTTTTAATTTGAAAAAAAAACAAAAGAAACAGAAGGTGGGTTCGTTATATTGTGTAGGAAGTTAACGTGTAACATTTATTTTAATATAAAAAAAAAAAATTTTTTTTTTAATGAATTTCATATTCAACGAACCCCGGTTTAAATCTTGAGAATTAAACTCATTAAATTGATTAAATATTGAAAGAAGAAAAAAAAATTGCGACCTTGATAGATATCTTTATTATTATAATTTGTGTTCTTAACGTAATATTTGAATTATTTGTTCTCGTGTTCTTTATTTCATTTTTTATATTTTTTCTTTACTATCGTACTTTTCTGGAATGGTGCTCAAATTATTAATCGTCTTTAACGCGATTGAAAATAATCCTATATTGACTGCAAGCAGATAAAGATAAACGTACATGTAGAGATCTGCGAAATTTAAAAGCAGATATGGATAAATTAATCAAATCGTAATCGAACGAACAGAAACAAAACGGTAAAAAATTAAAACGCGTTCGTTTTATGATTCGAACGAAAGATTCGTTTCTCGCAAAGCACATTCCAGTCGAGTTTGAACGTAGGGATTTAGCTAATTAGCGATGGTATATCGATATGCATATATATTATATAATATTAATATTAAATATTGGTCATGACCACAAAAGTGTAGCTCACAATTTTGGTCATCTCTGTGGTAATTGATAGCGTAATCCTCTTGCGATTAAAACTATGTATACTACCTGTATGCTTTTCTGAAATGCACGAAACATATAGAAGGGGGGCGTGGGTTATAGGATTAATAATTTATAATTTATTTATAATCTGTCGAGTGTATAACAATGAAGAAACTAGACGACGACG